AAACTGACTACTCGCACCAATAATATTAGTATTAAAGCTCCGAGACGGGCCGGGCTAACCGAAAGTTTTCGGATCGGGCCTAATTCGGGTTCGGGTTGTTGGTTGGGACCGAACCGAAAAACCCGAACCCGACCCGAAACCCGAAAACTTTTTGGACTGTACCAATTATACTTGAGGTCAAAATTATTAAATTGCATTGCACTATCTATCATAATTTTATACAATTGACACAAGATGCAATTCGTGATGCAAGTCTCAATTCATGGTACAAACATGATTCATGACAATTTATTATCTAACAAAACCTTTTTAGCTATGAAGCATTGATGTTACATTAAAAATTGAAAAACTTTCATGCAATAAATAAAGAGTTTTATATGTGGTTAAAGTTTGAATTAGTTCATACACACACATCACGATTATGTTTTGTGTAGTGATGGTGGCTGAAATTATTATTACAGGACGAATTGGGTCAAAAATGACACTATTTTTATGATAATCATAATCTTTTTTAATAAATATATAAATAAACTAGATGAATGCTTTATGACAGTGACTTCGTCACTGGTGTTACTTGTTATTTACTGTTTTAAAGTCTCTATTCAAATAAAAGTTACTATTTGAAGAAAAATTTCTGGCCTTCGGCAAAGTTGAATGATTTTAATATTGTTATTTAATCACCAATAAAATAATTTGAATCACGGAAAATATCTCAGACAACAGAGAAACAAATATTCTGATGTAACAAACCTTTAATTCTCAGATTAAATTCAAACGAAAGAATTTAAATTATTGGATCACTTTAGAAATAATTTGAAAATAGTTCTACGTACACAGAAAGTTCAAGTAATACATTTAATTAGGAATAATAAATAATATTATCCTTATCTTTGTCCTTGTTGTTGACTTGAATATTGTATTTTTGTAATGATAATAAATCTATCCCTAACAATGAATCCATACCAAATCTCATGCATAATCATTTTTTCTCTTATTTTATATTTGTCCATTTTTTTTATTTCTTCTCTTTGCTTTTAGTGAGGTGATATTCAATGAATTTTATTTAGTAGTTTGGGAACACACCTGACTTGAGTATGGAACAACAGCACCCACTAAGAAACGTGATCAGTAATTTAAAATCTAAAAAAGATATTGTTTAGTACAAGAAATTGTTTAATGAAGGTGAAAGATAGTTTTGAGAGTAAAATCATGCCAGAAATTGTTGTTACGATTTAGTATAAATAAATGATATTAGATTAGTAAAAAAAGTAGTTAATTTTTAATTTTTTGATTAAAAATCCCATTTGCGTAACAATTTTTTGTTAAGAATAAAGATATTTATTACTAATAAAAGAATTATTAATATATTTTACAATTTTTTCCGGAATAATTCCGTATCTTTTATAATAATCAATAAAAATTATAATTCATACGGAATTTCCGTATGCAAAATTTTTATAGGAAAGGAGACGCCTTTGGGATATAATTATTTACATAGAACCTAGGGACCCTTTTATCCAGGAAGATAAAAGTAATCTTTGACCATAAGTCAGTAAGTAGGCTGTGTGTCATATATATATAAATAAAGGAAACTTGACTGTAAGTCAGTGAGTAGGCTGTGTGTCAAACAATAGAATCAACTGTAAGTCAGTGAGTAGGCTGTGTGTTGAACATTAGATAACCTATTAATTAGGAAACTCGGATTGCATGCTTGCAAGCTTATTTATCTTTTAAAAATAAAAACATATTATTAAATTGCAAATGATAAGATATTAATCCACACCTGCATTTGGTTATTCTTTTTATCACTATTACTGTTGTAATAATTATCAATTCAGACAATGTAATATTATAAAAATGCAACTATCCTTGAAAATTTTGTTTGAATTCACTAAATCTAAATTAGATATTTTTATTATAACAAGCATTGTTATACTTCTAACAAAAAAGATAATTTGAAGTTTCATTTTTTAATTAATAAATATCAATGAGAGTTTTGATTATTTGAATTTTATTTACCTATTTATTATTTTTTTTTGTTCTTATTCTTGAAGAATGTTAAGTGAACATAAACTCTATTTTTTTTAATTTCTTTTGCCAAATTCATTTGAACCCTGAAATCATTGGTAGTTCATTTTGTTGGGTTTGTAGAAGCATGCCCCATATAATATGTATATAAAATAAATAATTTCAAAATAGCTAAATACACAATGAATGCAAACTATATGATGATGAAGAAAATAGATCAGTCTAAAAGGTTGATGCTTATAATAATAAAGTTTTTCTTGCTGTTGCAATAAATTATTTGTTTCAGGGTGGGTGCTTAAAAAAAAATGGAACCAATTAAAAGAATAAGTCCAAAGGTCAAAGTTTGCTAGAAATTATGTTTCATAGAGTAACAGTAAATCCAAACCAAAAATGACGGCTAAAAATATGCACAAATAACTTTTAGAATGTGTAGAACAGGATGAGCTCAAAGAAGAACTTCTGAAGACTCTACCATTGCTAATTGGATAATTAAAATTTATGCATGCTGGGAAAAAAAGGCAGAAGGAACATTGGATTACTATTTTAAAATATAAAATAATATTTTACTATTTTTTTGACCTTTAAATCTGACATACACATACAGAAAAGTTTTCTTGGGAAGGAAAGAATAAAATTTTTTTACATATATGAATTTAATGGGATAAAGCACATAATATCATGTGGTTGCATCGCAGAGTTACTATTTTTTTGTAGCCTTTTCTTTTACTGAATTCGGTGTTTTGGAAATTGTATCATGGTAGATCTGCAAATTTCTTCCCTAAATCATAGTATTTTGCTGTCGTTCACAAAAGGATCATCAATTAATTATTTCATAATGCCGGAGAAGACTTTATGCAAAAGTGACAAAAAAATTCAAATACAGTTGTTGCTTTTGGAGATGGCCGGTTCTCAAGTTCCTCAAGAGGCCACCTACCAGGTCCTGTCAGACAACTTCTTGCTGGATTGAAAAAAAAGATGTCAAGTTGAGTTCTACACCAGTCAAACTTGTTCTTTATGTTGCTGTGAGAGGAAATTTGATAGAGAATAACGATTTTGATCTGTCCAAATTTGTAAAAGCAACAAATGTCAGATTCATTGGAATCATGACCAATGCGTTACAAGAAATGAAATACTTTTTTAGCTTTGACAAGTTGCAGCCTTAATTCCCACCCTGCCTAGGTTAATTAAAAACTCAGCTCAATTGTTAGCAAGCTGAGATTTCTTTCTTTCTTTTCTTTTGGATTGTGGCGCCAGTTTCTTGGATATGCAAAAAAATTTGTCTTGTCACAAAATTAGAAAGATATTCTGGACCAATTTTAGAAATTTGGCCAAATTTCTGACTTTCCCTGCTGGAGATCATTGCCCTCCAAAAAAAACCCCCATGACAGGAGGTTGTCCTATAAATCATAATAATAATAACAACAACAATAATTGATATCAATTTTACAATAGGTGATAATAATAATAATAATCAGATCAATTCATCAAAAGGATCTTCTAGTGATAATCTATCACCATCATCATTGTCATCATTGTCAATAACAATAGATCAAAATCAAAACTCATTATTAAATACAACACGTCAACATTTTTCCATTCCACATGTTTCATCTAATATTGTTAGTAATGGTAATGAAGATGATAAAAATAATAATAATAATAATAATAATAATAATAATAATAAATAAAACATGAAAATTAGATTTTATAAACAACTTTATTTTAAAAAAAATTTTTTTTTAAATTAAAAATTAAATAATAAAACTAATTAATTCCTACTCTTAATATATAGAAAAATCAAACTATTTACAATATTTTTTTTATATATATAAAATTAAAAATAAATAAAGAGTTATTTGCATTATATAATAATTATTATTAAAAAATTATACTTGCCACAAAAAAAAAAGATATTTACAGTCAAACCTTGTCACAGGATTTTATTAATAAATTTGTTCCACATGACATAAATTATGAAATTTATCCAAATTACCAAGATTGATAAAAATAATAATCAAATAGATTATTTTTGATCAAAGGTCAGTATTAAAATAAAGCAATAAAACAAACAATTTTATCCAAAGACTTATGAGTAATAAATTTTCTAAAATAAACTAATACAAACAATTGATAGATTATTTGTCCAAACGTTTGCGAGTAACTTTTTCCCAAGTTTTTAAAATAAACCAACAAACAAACAATTGATAGGTTACTTGTCCAAATGTTTGCAAGTAATAACCTTTTCCAAGTTTCTAAAATAAATCAATAAATCAATAAACAAACAATTGATAGATTATTTGTTCAAATTTTTGCGAGTAACAAAATACTAAAAATATATTAATAAACCAACAATTGATGGATTATTTATCCGAATGTGTGCAAGTCCAATTGATAATAAAGTCAATTAGATTATAAAGAATTAAAGCATTTAAATCATTGAAAAGAAAAATTGAAAAACTAATATTACAACAAATAATTTATTTCTGTTTTTGAACCGCTTGACTTTCATCAGTACCACAAAGACTCAAGCTACGTTTTTTGATAAGATCGACATCGACTTCAAACCCTTGAGAATTGATATAGTAATGGATCAACATCTACAAATACAAACACTGCTGGTACCGGTACCAATCTAAATGAACCATCATTACAAGTATTCACGGGCGCTTACTTTTCCAGGACGATAACAACAACAACAATAAAAGGAACCAAGTTCCTTTGTTGTAGGACACATAGATAGAAGGAACACTAATAAATTTTGATATTCTTTCGCTTATTAGTCATACCACCAGATTTACAACTACTACGAGTATTGTTAAAGAAGTTATTGCCATTATTATCATCTCTGCTAACTTGTTGTATTTAATGAATGAAACAGCATCGTTCACCGTATATGCAAACTCCTCTTTCTACATGGGCCATGCAAACTTCACTTTTATATTTTGGGTGACGAATAACATGTTGTAATTCAATTAAAGAATGTGCGAATTGGAATCTGTTTCCATATCTGTATTATTAGGAAAAATAAATAAATAAATAAAAAATTCATTAATTGTTATAAATATATCAAAAATAATAAATACTTGACTACAAACACCTTTGTCCTCCAAACTGCGACACATTTCAGTTTTGTAGAAAGAAAAGGTTTTCTTTTGATCTTTGTTATCATCGGTAACTGAAGATGCAACAGAAGGAAACATATTGATTTATTGACGTTATATTTTTGGGATGATAAATGTAAATCTTCATACGAAGGTAAATTTTGAGTGGTGGATTCAGATCAGAAGATTCCTCGTTAATTCCTTTATTTGTTGATGACGTGAAGGAATTATCACCACGAGAAGGAAGAAAAACGGTGTTGTTTAATGCTGAAAATAATATAGATTTTCTAAAATTATCCATAACGGTATAAACGTTGTCCACGGAGTGAGCAATTTGTTGTGTCAGTAGTAATTTCGATGGTGCACAAAATATTTTCCGCAATTGATAAGAAAATGGGTTCACGTTTGGTCATTTAGAGAACATGAAACATTAGATTTATAAAGCAAAATAAGAAATCTTTATTTTTTTTTATTTTAAAAAAAAATTTAAATTAAAAATTAAATAATAATTAAAATAATTTATAACGTTATTAATTCCTACTCTTAATATATAAAAAATAAAAAATATTTACAATGTTTTTTTAAATTTTATAAATAATATTTATAAAAAAAAAATATATATCTATATATATATAACTAAAAATAAATAAAAGTTATTTATATTATATATATAAATAATTTATTATTAAAAAAAACCCCAAGTAGGAATTATTGCTGTTACCACTAATAGTTAATACTTACCCACAATGTATATTTCTTTTTTTTTTTAAAAAAATGTTTTTGATTTTTTTTTGATTTTTTTTAATTAAAAAATGTCCATAAAAAAATAAAAAATAAAAATTTTTCTTTAAATTGTTAATAATAAATCTCTTCTGCTTGCTTTCACACACACACACACACATGTATTTTTTTTCCTCTTATATATTCTCTTCAAAAAATGAAAACCGCTTGAATTATGCAACCAATCTTTGAAAGCAAGCCAAACGTTTCGCATGGCTTCCACCAGTACCGCAGAGACTTAAGCTACGTTCTCTAATGGTGGCTGGGTGATTTATTATATTATCGAGACTGAGATCGCCTTCGACTTCAAGATCCTTAAGAATTGATAAAGTCAAGGAACTTGGTTCCTTTTGTTGCTGTTGCTGCTGCTGTTGCTGCTGCTGTTGCTGTTGTTGTTGTTGTTGTTGTCCGAGAAGCGATCTGGAAAAGTAAGCATCCGTGAATGCTTGCAATGATGATTCATTTACGTTAGTACCGGTACCAGCAGTGTTTGTATTTTTTGATGCTGATCCGTTGTTGTAGGACCCATAGATAGAAGGATCACTAATAAATTTTGATAATCTTTGCTTATTAGTCATACCACCAGATTTACGACTACTGCCAGTATTAGAGATGTTATTTCCATTATTATCATCACTGCTAACTTGTTGTATTTCATGAATGAAACAGCATCGTCTTCCGTATGGGCAAATTCCTCTTTCTATATAAGTTTTGCAAACTTCAGTTTTATATTTTGGGTGACGATTAACATGTCGTAATTCAATTTGAGAATGTGCGAATTGACATTTGTTTCCATATCTGTATTATTGGAAAAAAAAGAAAAAGAAATGATTAATTATAACTTTTATAACAAATAAATTAATAATAATAATAATAAATAAAAATAAAAATACTTGCCTACAAACACCTTTCTCTTCCCAATTGCGACAAATTTCAGTTTTATAGAGAATGGTTTTCTTTTGATCTTTATCATCGGTAACTGAAGATGCAACAGAAGAGGACATTGATTTAACAGGGTCACTGTTTCTTCTGGCTTTTGGATTAGCGGTAATAATATTAGTGGGCATTGTGTTATCAATATTATCATTAAAAGCTGGGGTGGTTGTTGTTGTTGATTTGATATTTGCAAGTGCAACAGCAGTTGATATATTGCTAAGATTTTCGATCACTTTTTGATTGACAGCGGGTTTAGACGAAGATTGAACGATGACATTATTTGAAGAAACTGGTTTTGATGTAGTACTGATATTGTTATCCTTAAATTGTGTGGTAGGTAATGTGGCAGAATTAGAAATTTCGTATTCACTATCGTGATTATTGATGTTATATTTTTGGGATAATAAATGTAAATCTTCTTCATGCGAAGATAGATTTTGAGTGGTGGATTCAGAAACTAATAGATCGGAGGATTCCTTATTAATCCCTTTATTTGTTGATGACGTTGAGAAATTATCACCATGAGAAGGCGAATTAGTACTGTTGTTGCTGGAAGAGGAAGGAAGAAAAACAGTGTTGTTTAATGCTGAAAGTAATAAAGATTTTCTAAATTCTTCGCTGTTATCGTCGTCATTGTTAGTGGTGTCAGTAGTAGCTTCGATGATGTCGAATGGGTCGAGTACACAAGGTATTTTATTATCGCCGTCGAGTTCATGCTCAGTATTTTCTTTGTGCAATGGACAGAGAGCTGAATCAAAATTGGTGACGGGCGATTTAGGTAAATCAAAATTCGTATTAGTGACTTCATTTTTAGAAAGAGTTGAAACAAAAGTGGTGGCGGCGGTGGTGACGTTGTTATATTCATCAAATGGAGCAAAGCTTGTGGTGTTGTTGGTAATGGAGGAGATATTATTTTTGTCGTTATTTGATGCGGAAAATAATAAAGATCTTCTGTAGTCATCGTCTTCTTTTGGAGGAGATGATCCGAGAGAAGATGTTTCAGATCCAGATGTCAAATCAGGAGATACTTCATCGAATGATAAGGTCAAAGGATTAAATAAGTAACAGCTATCCTTTGTGTTGTTGATATCGGTATTGTAGAAAGTTGAGTAGATAGATGAATGTTTGTGAGGAATAACGTCCTTGATACCGTTAAGTTTATCATCATATAAAACGTCAATGTTACTACCGTCAGTGAAAGCGGCGGTATTAACGGTGTTGTTGGTTGAGAGATGATTAAGAGCGGGAGGTGGTAGTTGAGGATAATAAAGATTATCAGGATGATGAAGACTATTTTGTTGAAGATCATAGATATTATTGTTATTATCATCAATTTGACCAGCGGCCAAATTATTCCAATACAAAGATTTAGCCAATTCAGCATTTTTGATTTGAGGAATTTTTGCACAAGTAACGGTGGTAGAGATAGAAGGTTGTTGTTTGATACAATCGTTTATATCAACGTTGACTCCAGTAGCGGTGGAAATGATATTGTTTTTGTTATTGATGTAGTTGCTGGCAGTAATAGCGACAGGCTTTTCAAAGATCATGGTTTTTGGATGATTGAGGTGATAGTCATTGATGAGGTTATTAGAAGTAGGAGCTTCATAAACATTGGTAGCGGTGGTGTTGGTACGAATTTTGGACGATTCGATGATAACATCATCATCAGAGACAAGTTTAGTAGGGGGAGAGTACAATTGAGAAAATAATGAAATACAAGAAGATTTGAATCTTGAAGAGGTTTTGTTGATCGACAAGCCTCTCATATCACCGACGGCTTTGGAGAAAGTTTTATTAACGTTGATGTCTTTTGGTGGTAACGAAGGCATCTTTGTTGAAATGTGTGTGTGTATAATAATAATATATATATTTATGATGGAAATTGATTTTTTTTTGTGTCGACTAGTATTAAATATAAATTCATATGATATAGTTTGGTTAATAAATAAATATTATATATGTATGTAAAAAAAAAAGAAAAAAGAGTAAAAAAAAAATAAATAAATTTTCAAAAAAAAATTAAATAAAAAAAAAATCAGTTGCGAGTATGCCGAGTGCAAGTAAATATATATATATATATATAAAATATATAAATGGAAAAAAGTATAATAAAGTGTGTAATGATTTTTAAGTTTATTGTGTGTGTGAGAAAGGTAAAATAAGATATATATATATATAATGTGTGTGTGTTGATATAAAAATGTGATATCAATTAAATAATCAAAGTAAGTATTTTTTTTAAAAAAAAATAATAAATAATAATAAATCATAATAATGAAGATGTGATATATAAATAAATAGTTTGAAAAATTGTATATATAATAAAAAACTTTTTAAATTAATAATTATTCCGAAAACTAAAACGATTCAAATTAGCCAATAAAATTAATTGATTTTAAAAAATACCAACCTAACCAAAATAAGATTTTACGTAGAAGGTAAATGAACAACTACACCGATAATAGTATCAGCGAAAAAAATAAAAGATGTCCTGAGAAAATTTATAAGATATACGTGTGTGTACGGCTATATATTATGTAGATATAGAGAAAGAAAATTAGAGAAATGTTTATATATAGGTTAATATATTATGTTGCATATATATTGTGTGTGGGGGGAGGAGCAAGTAAAGGAATACGTCGAAGAATTTATTGTGTGTTTTGTTGAAGAGGTAAAAAAAAAGTATGAGAGGGAAGGAGGGATGGGAAGAATTATGTCAAAAAAAAAGTAAAAGGTTTCGTGTTGAAATTGAGTAAAGTGAAGGATTGAAAAAGAAATGAGACGAAGTTGTGTGTATATATGAATATACATATGTATACAGAAAAAAATTTTTTTTTACCTGAATTATCTTGTCTATCTCTCTTGTTTGCCTTTAGAGGGAGGAAGGAGATAGAGAAAAACTTTTAAGAAATAATTTATCAGAAGGATATATTTTATAGATAGAAAATGAGATAAATATTTTTAAATATTAATTAACAATTTTTTATAATAAGTACGTATGTGCTTGTGGATAAAATATTATTTTTAATTTATTAATTTAGGAAAGGGTTTTTTTATTTTGTTTGTAAATAGGAGAGAGATTTTTTTTTAAAGAGAAAAGAAATTTTGATCCTTATATACTTTTTTATATATCCTCAGTTAAATATATATATATATTAATATTTATTATCACGATAAAAAAGGATTTGCCCATTTTATTTCTATTTTTATTTATATTGTATTTATTTGATTTATATGGAATATTTCTCTCTTTTTAAATTTAATCAATCAATTAATTTACTAACTATTAATCAACACCACGCACGCACGTATAAATAATAAAAATTATTACAAAACTTTTGAAATATGCTTCTTTTTTTACAATCAACTATATACACACTCTCTCTATAACTCATTATCAATTAATCATCTCTCTTATCAGAGTTATCTTCAATTATATGGGAAAATGTTTCATATTATTATATAACTTTTTGATTTGGGTTTTTTTCAATTTTCCAGAAAATTTTTTTATTTTTATTGGTTATTTTAAATAGAGATTACTATTGAATAATATAAATGGTAATAAATAAATAAATAAATAAATTATTTTTATTATTTTTATTTATTTATTTATTTATTCTTTATTTATAAATAATAATTGTTAACTTATTTAAACTATTCATTAATTAATTATTACATATAATATATGAATGATGAATGATGACGAGGACGAAGACGACAGACAACACGTTGTAATTAACGAACGATTAATCTAAGATCAAATCACATTTAATTGACCAATCAATCGATCAATTAATTACAATAAAAAAATTGAAAAATTTTTTACAATAATCCGATTATATTAGCTAGTTGACGAGTTTTTAACGAGTTTAATAATGTCGGCATAATGAAAATGATGGCAAATTACAGTTTTTAGTTCGCTCGTAATATTAATAGTAATAAAGATTTGCTTATAAGATTAAAGGGGTTAGACTGTTTTTTTTCTAGATGTTATACGATGTTCTACTATTATCAATTAGTACATGTTATAACCATATTGGGAATATTAACGTAGATCAGGGTCAAATCTCTTTTATTTATGAAAATTTTTACAATTTGGTAATACAGCACGAGATCTTTCAAACCTCATGTTTGGTTATATTATATAATTTGTCAATATTTATATTATGTTTTAAGGCGAAATCCTCCCCCCTTTTATTGTCACCATAAACTAAAGAGAGAGTTGAGTGAACAAATAATATTTATCTAAAAGTTCAAAGACATAACATTTTAATAGAACAATGAAATGTTTTTATAATTAAATCTATTAATAAACAATGGATTTTTAATTTTCTTTTAAAACAACAACAACAATTTATTGATACACAGACATTTGATAGAATGACTGCTAAGTTTTTTTTTGGTTTCTCTCACAATCAAATTCAAAATAAATTTAATTGGTACACAATATTTTGAACCTTAAATTGGTAAAATTAAAATTCATTCCACATTTTATTTCTATAATTTGGGATTTGAAATTACGACGGCGAGGATGGATGAATGAATGTTTGATTTGATTGATTGATTGATTGATTGGGGGGTGGATTGAATGAACGAATGAATTGAAAAAAAAATTTTCTTTGTTTTTTTTTTTTTTTTTTTTTAAAACAAAATAAAATAAATACGCATTTTATGTGCAACCAACTCTAACTAATTCGTCATAATCAATATTTTAAACTGTGTGTAATATACATATACATATATATATATCTGATAGTTTAAATTAACAGCATTAATTCATCATAAGCTTTATTTTAAAAAATCTGACATTAATTAATAAAAATATAGATTTACTCAACATAAAAACGTTTCAATTTACTTTATTCAGTTAATTGCATTCCTTTTATTTATCTGTGAGTGTGTTTTTAACATTAGAAAGGAAAAAAGAAATGTGAGATTAGTGTGCAAAATGTAGTTGTTAATTGAATTTACATTTTTGTGTTTTTTTTTTTTTTTTTTTTATTATTATTATTATTGAATATACAATAATAGAATAAATAATTATTGTTATTCTATTATTATTATATTATTATTTATTTATTATTATTATTATATTATTATTTATTTATTATTATTATTATTTATTTATCCAAAGATGATTAGGAAACCAGCGATTAAATAAACATATACTTACGACACGCAATCCCGCTAATACTACAACTATATGACAACTAAAATTACAACGATAATAATAATACACCATTTCTCTCCTCAATCTCCTAAAATTAATAATTAATTAATTAATTAATTACATTCATTCTCTTTACTTTGGATCTAAAAATAAAATAAATTCGAAGATTTTTTATTATTTTTTAATTTCAATTTTTTTTCTTTTTTAAATTTTCCCTTACATAACAAATGATACCTATCATTGTCAACAACAAAAAAAAAAGAACCCCCTTAATTTTATTCTACACATTTCAAACACCCTTCTCCTCACTATAATAGTTAAATAAACTTCTGCCATAAATACTAATTAATGTATAATTTTATGTGACACAACAACTACTAACTTCATTGATTATTTTACACATGGTTTTGGCTTTCTTAAACAAAGAATTTCTTCATGTTGGTTGAAAGAGAGAGTGAATAAGAGAAGAGGTGGTGGTGGTGGTATAGAGAGGAGTTATTGAATAAAGTTTAATGATAATAATTGGTTATGATTTTTTAATATTTTTAAATAATTACATTTTATAAATATTTTTTAAATATTTTTTCCATAGTTTTTAATAATTAAATTTAATATATATAATATTAATAAATAAATATATATAATAATAATAACAACAATAACAATAATAATAAATTAAGGAAGGGTTTGTATGAAAATACATATATAATATATATGTGTGTGTGTGTGTGTGTGCAAAAGATATACAAATTCCAGAGCCTTCTCTGAGTTAAAGTTATACACAGAAGCGGATTAACAAAAATATAATCGCCACGTGTAATATACTTTCTTTCATTCATATGATGAATGATTTTTATTATTATTTATTATTTATATTATATTTTAATTAATTTTTTTAATAATTATTATTTTAACGTTTTCTTTTCTAGCTATAGCATTCATGGTTTGATTCATCATCACCATCATCATTTATTATTTATTTTTGATTTTTTATTTTTTATTTTTAATTTTTTTTATTTTTGTAAAAATAAATGAATTAAATTAACACTACTAAATAAATTAGAGTTATCAATGAATCAATTAGTCAATTAGTCAATCAGTCAATCAGTCAATCAGTCAATCAGTCAATCAGTCAATCAGTCAATCAGTCAATCAGTCGGTCAATCAGTCAACCAATCAAAAATTAAATGAATGACCTATTGAATATTTATTATAGATTTGTCACACGCAGAATGTAGAATCTTGGCGAATTTTTTTTAAAAACGTGTTTTTTTATCTTTATCCGACACGCATTGATGACACATAGAATTTAGATCATCTCGCTTCATCATCGTCATCATCACATTTATTATTACTATGTCATATTAATTCTGGAAGGAATTTAGTGTTCTGATGTGTGAGAATAAAATATCAGTGACATCATTATCATATTTATCATCATCATAATATCATAATGACATAATTATTATAGATCAAAAAGCGTAGTAGGAAGCAACAAAAATATATATATACACACACACATCTATTACTGCTTTTTTTTTCAATTTACAAAATTTATCGATAGAAACCATAAAACAACCTAACATTAATATTAAAGATATGGATAACAATCGTAAAACTAGTAATAATTGGGATAATGATAAAAAAGTTGTGTTGGTATCTCATCTTGATGAAGTTCCAATAACAGTTGAAAGAAAAGTTCCACATAATCTTGAAGAAACTTTAGGAAATCCTGGTAAAAAATTAATTATCAATTATTATTTATTTATATTCAATCATTAGAATTAAAACCATTTTTAAAAAAAAAAAAAAGATTAAATTTTTATTTTTAATTTTAATTTTAGGGCTCCCTCGTGCTAATGTCGCTGCTTCTAGGGAAAAACCAAATGGAACTATAGGAAATGTAAAACGACGTACTGTTGGTATCATTTATCATCATTAAAAAAAAACACATGATAATTCTTTTGTTTAACAAAACAATATATATGTATATATTTATATAGGTTCTTCAACAACATGTAGATTTTTGGGATACTGATCATGATGGTGTGATTAGACCATTTGACACCTATCAAGGTATAAATATATTTCACTATTCATCAATTCCAATTATATTCATCAATTCCAATTATATTCATCAATGCTAATTATTATTTTCTACTTCTTTTCTACTACCACTTTTCCTCCTCTAGGATTTCGTCGATTAGGATTTAATATATTTTATTGCATATTTAGTGCTGTCAGCCTTCATTTGTCTATTGCTTACATGACACAGAAAAGTTGGATCCCTTTTCTTGGAAATCCATTCTTCAAGATATACACAGATCGAATTTATAAATGTAAACATGGATCTGATTCGGAAAGTTACGATACCGAAGGAAGATTCGTACCACAGAAGTTCGAGGAGCTTTTTTCAAAGTATGATAAGAATAATAAAGGTGGTTTAAATTCTCGTGACATTCTGAATTTGATTTACGGTAACGGAAATGTATGGGATCCCGTTGGTTGGGCCTTCGCTGCTTTCGAATGGGGAACTTTGTACATGTTGTGTGCTGATGAACATGGTCTCATTAAAAAAGAAGACATCAGATCTCAATATGATGTAAATATTGTTATGTTTATATCTGTGTGTGTGTTGTGTGTATGTGATTTTTATATTAATATTTAACCTATTAATCTATGATATAGGGCACATTGTTTTATCGAGTTGCTAATGAATATGAAAAACGTAAAAATCACCATTCTTTGTTTCCCATTGAGAAACTTGATAAACATAATTTCTTTCAGAAAGAAGATTAAATAAAATTACGTGTCACCATTTTAATTATCATTATATATATATTAATTAACAATATAAATTGTAATTATATTAAATTTGAGAAATTAATAAATAAACCATTCGCAAATTTCGCAGATGTATACGAGATCCGTGAAGGTTGTTTTACCATCAGTATCAAAGCTGGTATTTTGTACTTGTTAGCTGAGCTAGATTTCCATTACATTACTCATCCATCATCTAGTATAAAATATTACCATTATTTAAATATTTATTTATAAGATACGCTACCCTATAATATATAACTTCTAATTGAGCCGCCATTTCATTTTTCCTAATAACCTTTTATATGAAATAACTGTAACAGACCGACTTACCAAAGGATCTTCACTCGATCTATTATAAATTATAAGACGAGTCCACTACACCTCTACTACCACTATCAAGATCATACATAACATATACGATTTGGTTGAGATTGTTGGGCAGGTTAAATGCTGTTTAAATCCTGCAAATATTTTCAGGATTGATTGATAAAATGTTTCTATTACTACTGCTGCTACTGATAACTACTACAACAACAGCAACAATTCCCTTATAGCTTGGCTTTGGCCAAATGTTCATGTTCTTTATATTTTCTGAGCAAGTCTTTGCGAAAACGCTGAAAGATATCACATAAGCCTGACCTTGGACTCGTGATTTGAATGGGGAGTTGATTGATGTCATATTTTAACCAAGTACAGCCAAAGATTCTCTATGAACTGTCTTTTTGTTGGCAAACATATAAGTGACGGGTTAATTTCTCCCTGGGCTTGGTAATGAGCTTCAGCATAATTTTTCAAGAAAATTTTTCACAGCCTCAACAACATTTGTCTTTCATCAAGGAAAATTCTTGATACAAGTCCATTGTTTATATATTCTAAAATAACAAAGTATTGTGTTGATCTCAACAAATCTTTTATTGACACGAGCTTTCTTTTTTAAGGCGTCCGCCTTCTATTACTTATTGTGCCATCATTAAAGCCGTGCCATCAAAAGATATTCTGTTTTGGAAGAGCAATACTTGGGCTGAGCAACACAATTATAATTTACTTTTAAGGAATCGGGTTATATATTCGGTACACTCTAATCGATCAGCAAATGCTGTATAACACACCTGCTGAAAAATTTGTCACAATGAGATTGTTAGTATTATATTAAATAGTATTAGTATGTAAATACAGAAATACATGGTAATCGGCATATTGTGATAAAACCGTATGCCCTACCAAAATCCTATTGGATGAAATTTATATCATGTGATATTACCCCCATAAATCCAAATCCAATTCTGCAAATTGTATTCATCTTTGGTGTTACTCCTTATTAATTTTTTTTTACGATTTATTACGTTATAGAACTTATTATCTTTTTTTTTTCAATTATGTCAAATAAACAACCACTTAATGTAAAGGATGCATTGTCATATCTTGACCAAGTCAAAGTTCAATTTGCTGAAAAAACTGATGTTTACAATCAATTTTTAGACATTATGAAAGATTTTAAAAGTCAAGCTATCGATACACCTGGTGTTATTGATCGAGTTTCAAATCTTTTTAAAGGTCATCCAACACTAATTCAAGGTTTTAACACTTTCCTACCTTCTGGTTATCACATTGAGTGTTCCACAAATCCTCTAGAGCCTGACCTTATCACAATCACAACACCTACCGGTATAACAACTACAAAAGGTCTTTTGGAGCCTCACCACTCGCAACAAAATCTTACTTCTTTATCTGCCAATTTATCGACAGCCTCTTATTATAATCCAAGTTTTCAACATCCACCACCACAGCCACCGCCTACTTCTTCTCTAATATCTTCACTTACTCCACATTCTCAAGTTCCACAACCACAACCTTCTTCCTCGTCACAACAACCAACCTTGGCTCCTTATCATATCTCAACCGGAGGCCAACAGAATCTAGTACAAGCTGTTGGTGTCGCTTCTTCGCAAAATGTTGGTCAACCAATAGGTCTTGGTTCTTCTTCACAAACAATTGGAAGCGCTTCCCCAATTCATCATCACCAGCAACAACAGCAACAAGGTGGTAAAAAAACTCCTGTAGAATTTAATCATGCTATAACTTATGTTAATAAAATTAAGGTATGTTGAATTAATTAATATTAATTAATTAAAATTAATTTTCATTTATTTTATTATGGGAAAAGAATTTTGACGATCAATGAAAAATACTTTATTATTATTAATTAGATCCGATTTGGTAATGAGCCTGATACATACAAACAATTTTTAGAAATTCTACAAACTTATCAAAAAGAACAAAAACCAATTCAAGAGGTATAAATCATCACACATAATACAATCAATGTGTATATATATATATGTATAATATTTACATATAAATAATTGATTTATATATTTATGATAATTAGGTTTATGCACAAGTTCAAGTACTTTTCAATAATGCGCCAGATCTTTTAGATGAATTTAAACAGTTTTTACCAGATATTTCAGGAAATACTCCACAAGGTGGTTTGTTTAGTCAGATCTCTCAAGGATACGGTAATTTATCTCCTCTCCATTTTTTTTTTGTTTCATTTTCACCTATCATTCTATTAATATATTGATAATAAAAAAATAAAAATCGATCAATAATCTATGTGCTTGTTGATGTATAGGTCTTTCTGCTGCTACTCGTTTACCTCCTGTTGGAAGTTTTCCATCATCCCCATCAGGCCTTGCAATTAACGCTGATTCATTTAGAAAAAGTTCAATACCGGGTGGTGGTGGTCCATCCACCAATTCAAATTCGTTGAGTGCAAATGGTATTGCTACTGCCGCTGCCGCTGCTGCCGCCGCCGCCGCTGCTGCTACAAATACTACTAAAAAAAAAAGATCAGCTGTGCCTGGAACTGATCGAAATCTAGGCGGTCTTTCTGGAAAAGTAGTTATATAATAAATTATTTTATTTTATTTGTTGAAGATTAGTGATTATTTAATTTTTATAATCATTCTAATTATATATTCATATTTATATATAGACTAAAAAATCAAAAATTTCACATAAATTGCTTGATCAATCTCATGTTGGCACATCTTTATCCAACGTAAAAACTGAACCACATCATCACCATTATAGTTATGGTCAACCAAATTATTCTAAATCATCCGAAAGAAATAGGTCGCCTCCAGCTAATGCGTCTGAAGAAGAGTTGGCTTTTTTTGAAAAAGTTAAAAGAATTATCAACAGTAAACCTGTCTACTGTGAATTCCTTAAACTTATCAACCTATACTCTCAACAAATTTTAGATTCGCAGGCTCTTGTCAAAAGAGTCTCTGCCTTTATTGGTCATAATGCTGAATTATTTGAATGGTTTAAACAATATATAAAATATGAAGAAAAAGATGAGATTGTACAAAATACTGCTTCTTCTAGACCACGTGTTGACTTGGAAGGATGTATATCACATGGCCCAAGTTATCGTCAATTACCGTCATCAGTAAGTATTCACCAAGCTTCAAATGTCGTTATTGTCAATAATATACTAATATATCTGCGTGTGTATGTGTGTGCGATATTAGGAGGCAAATTCGCATTGTTCTGGCCGGGATGAAATGTGTTATGAGGTATTGAATGATGAATGGGTTTCGCACCCTACATGGGCGAGTGAAGATGCTGGATTTGTGTCACATAAAAAGAATCAATATGAAGAAGCATTACATAAATGTGAAGAAGAAAGGTTTGCAGTTTATCTTATTTTATTTAAATTTTTTTTTTACATTAATTATTTTACATTTATTATGTTTATTCGTTTATACATACGTACATGCATACCAATTTTTAATCATTTATATATAGATATGAATATGATATGTTTGTTGAAGCAAACCAACACACTATAGCTTTATTAAGCCCAATTGATAGACAAATTAGTAGGATGTCAGCAGAAGAGAAGAGTAAATTTAAACTTGAACCTGGTCTTGGCGGAAAATCAAGGATATATCAAAAAGTGATAAAGAAAGTTTATGATCATGATAAAGGACTTGATGTTATTGATGCATTACACAACAATCCAGGTGCTGCTGTTCCGGTGGTACTTAAACGTCTAAAACAAAAGGACGAGGAATGGAAACGTGCAAGAAGAGAATGGAATAAAATATGGCGTGAAATTGAAGCTAAAAATTTTTACAAGTCACTTGATCATCAAGGAATTACTTTCAAAAACGATGACAAGAAAGTGCTTACTCCTAAATATTTGATTTCTGAAATTGAGAATATTTGTCGCGAAAAGGCCCATCATGATGGAGATACACTTGAATATCAATTCAAATTTTCGTTCAAGGATTTGGATGTATTTAAGGATATCTATAGAATTATTTTCTTTTACATTGATCGATCTGGTACTTTTGCACTTAGTGATCGTGATAAAATTGAAAAATTTCTAAATACATTTCCACCAAGTTTTTTTGGTCTACCACCAACATTCTTTCAAATTTCAGGTCATGATGATACTGCAATGATAGTAGACACGGACACCAACAGTAATAATATTGACATAGTAGCGAGTAATAATAATAACGGTGGCAACAATAATCGCGACGTAGTATTGAATAATAATATCAATGCCACCAATAATAATGACAATGAGGATGATATTGAGAATAATATTAGTAGTATTAGCAGTATTAGTAATAGTAATAGTATTAGTATTAGTAACAGCAGCAATAATGGTAGTAATGATACAAATAATATAAATAATATAATTACTAACAACAATATAACTACCAACAACAATATAACTACCAATAATATTAACACTACCAACAATAATAATCTTACCAATGATTTTAATATTACTAATAATGATTTTAATAATAATAATAATGCTAACGCTAATGGTGAAGTTATTACTAACGGGATTGGTGATCATAAAGAAGAAGAAGGAGGAGGAGGAAGCAACAACAACAACAACAATGTTGTTGATGATGTAAAAGAGGAAGATTATACTAATGTTAATATTAACGTTAATGAAAATATAAATTATAATGATAATGATGAGGACAAGGAAGATGATGATAATTATGATAATTCAAGTAGCATGGATATTGATATTACAAAAGGACCATTAGCCACTGAACCAATAAACTGTTCGTGGATTCAAGTATCAGAAGAGGTTAAAGATAATATTCGTCAAGTTGTTACTAACGCTGGTAATACTCGATATAAAAAGAAAACGACATGTTATTTCTTTGGAAATACTGCTTTTTACTGTTTCTTTAGATTCCTACAAGTTAGTATTTATCTTTTTTTAAAAAAATTTAATTATACAATTGTATTTATTGATTAACATACACACACACACACTCATTGCTTGTAGATGTTATTTGAACGTCTTGAAAAAATGAAAGCAGTAGCACAAAATGAACTTTCATCTGCTTCTCATACTAGAAAACTTAATCCTGCTGCTACGGAACTTGGTGTCCAGAATAATTTCCTTGACCGTAATTATTATTTATGAAATATTAATTCATTAATTTCTTCAGTTTATATATTCACCTTAATTCATTTTAATAATCAATTACATAATTATTATTATTTTAGCCGATGTAGATTTAGATTTAAATAAAGGAGATCCTTACACAGTTATGCTCGAATTGATTGAAAAACAATTTGATGGTGAGATGGACCTAGCAACATTTGAAGAATGTCTCCGTTATATATATGGTACTAAAGCATATATCATGTTTACTGTCGATAAGCTTATTCAAAATATAACAAAACAGGTACTTTATTTTTATTAATTTATGTGTGTGTGTACAATAAATATATTAAAATATTTATCTATTAATATTATTGTAAACTTTAGATACAAGTTATAGTTTCAGATTCCAAGTCAGCATCACTTATTGAATTATTTGAAGAAAATAAAAAATTATTAGATCCAACAAGTGGTCGTTCTCATATAATGTATCAATTGCATGCTAACAATACAATTGGTTATGAAGAACACACTTATAGAATTGATTATGTAGTTATTATTTTTATTGCTATTATTACTATTACTACTAAAGAAAAAAACATTGGTAAGAAATAATTATTAATCACAATTAATCCTTTATTTATAGGACACTGAAGAAAAAAATATGACAATACTTTTATCTGGCAGTGATTATACAATAGGTAGTACAGTTTCATCGGAAGAAAGATGGGCATATTATATGTACAGTTTTATGTCTTTAAATCCTACTGAAGGTTTAAATAGCAGGAAGAAAAAACCATTTTTGAAAAGGTAAAAAAAAATTTTTTTCATTTCGTTTTCATTTTCATTTCATTTTAATTTTTCATTCAAATTTTTAAAATTTTTATATATTTAGAAATCTTCCATCATTTCGAAGAACAGAAGATTTAGTGACAACTGCAGAAGTTCATAATGGTCTGGAGGTTAAAATATGTTTAAATTCATATCATATATTCTTTGTTAGTAATACAGAAGATAATTTCAGACGATATCAAAGTGGTGTTTCTAAAGAAAAAATGGAACAAGATACTTCAAGACGTTTGGAGTTATGGCAAAACTGGCTTAAAGCTCAAGAAAAGTGTTTATCATTAAATGAAACCAATTAAAGTTGGAATAGCATTGTCAATTACTAGCGGGACTGGATTTGTCTCTTTATCATGTGCTTTAAATAAGTTAATATATATCTTTAAAGAGAAATACAATCAATAATAATTTCTGTTAAATTAAATAATTAATTAGTTGGTTAGTTGATTGATTATATAATTCTTTTTATATTTTATTTTATTTTATTTTTCCTATTTAGCAAAATGTATGATTCTTTTATACTTTTTTTATAAAAAAAAAATATGTATAAAGCTTTTATTTTTTTTATTTTTTTTTTTATAAATTTAATATTGTTATTTATTAATAATTAATAAAAAGTATTTTCGCAACAAGGTTTTTTTTATCTGTAAAAAAATTATTTCCAATAGTGTATTTATAATTAATTATAAACCTCAAGATTTATTAATTGAAGCTGACCTTGATCTAAAATTGAAAATAATTTTTCCGTTAATTGAGCAATTTCAAACCATAATTGCTTCTTTTTACCATATTACATATCACTTGAAAGTTCCAAATTTTTTTGATTATCTCCAAATTAAGTAAAAGGATTCCAAATTAAGAACAAAATATTCCAAATTAGACAACTATTTGTAGACGAGCTCAGCGAGACTCGTAAATAGGTTATCGTCGCAGCTGTACATAGTAAAAAGAGAAGATGCAATGTGAAAATTACCAAATTTGGAAATCTTATCTATAATCAACCAATCACAGTGTAGGCCAAACCCTGTGATTTTCAGATATCTATTATTAGTATTATTATTAGATGATTCGCACCATATAACGGCGGCAAAAAAGGCCGTTATAGAGAATTTGCAGATCATAATCATGTGATCAATTCATAATGTGAAACAACATTAAAGAAAATAAAATATTAATCATTTATTCAATATTAAGAAAGCTATCTAATGTTGATTGTTGATGTGAATCAAAATTGATTTTTTTAATTTTTCTTTTAAGGCTTTTTAATGATTTAAATTCGTTCTCACTTAATTGCAACTTTTCAAATTGTTGCTCAATGTAAACATCTAATGTTTTCATTTGCTGATAAAGCTTCTTTATTCAATTATTTCTTCTGATTTTGGTCTTCCTCAGTTGAATTAATTATTGAAATTATGTCATGTAGATTTATTTCATCTTTTCATCAGTTTTGTCAATTTAATGTATTCCGAATAATGAAGTAATAATGGTAATGTTTATGAAGATATGAAACAAAGATAATGATTATGTGAAATAATTTGACAGATGTAAAATATAAATGCGTAATCCTGATAATGCGATTCGTATTATTAATAATTTGATTTGCAGAAAATTTCCTAATTTAGCCATTGTAATTTCAGATAATGATCGTCGGCCGTTATAGACAGTTATATAAAAACATGAGGGACAGGCCGTTATACACACACTATAGGGAAATTTAATTAAGACCGTTATAGAATGGGATTTTTATATAGTAAAAAATTGGGACCCAATTCCCAGTTCGTTATAGAATGTAGGCCGTTATAGAGAGTGTGTAATGTATTCGAGAACATTAACTATATATAGTTTCAACGACAAATTTCGCTTCATATATAAACTTGTTAAAACACGATAAATAATTTTTGATATATTATTTATTTTTTTGTTTTTTATTATATTTTATTATTAAACTAGAATGTAGCTTTTAGTTTAGTTGACATGAAAATTAACTATGGAAATATACAAATTAAATAATAAACAAGATTTTGTTCTCAGCTTTTCCTTGACTGAGAAATTGAGAAATAAAATAAAATGTCTAAAATATGATATGCTAATACAGCCAGCGCTATGATTCGAAAGTATTTTTAAAAATACTAATAATACTAACATGTCACAGAGAGTGTAATTTCATGTGAAATTAAATTTCAAATCCGTGTAACAAATCGGGGTTTAAAAATATCTCGACTTTCTAATAATAAACTTGAACTTCACTATTAAGATAAAAAGAAACTACACCATTTAAGCTTTCTAACCATATATTTTTATATCTGATAACGCTCCCTATATAAAGCTATGGCTATTTAAAAGTAGTGGTGCATTTTCACTTCAAAGTTGTGATTATCTACCAATATCACTTTAAAAGACTTGATAGTAACAGACAAGGTGTAGAATACTTTAAGCTTTCATATGGTTATTACTTTATAGGGGGTGTTGGTTAATAAGTTTTAGAGAGGCTCACGAAAATTCTTTCAGAGACTTTTAATATTATTCACATAAAGATCATTCACTGAATCTTTTTTTACAATTAACAAAAAAAATGAATAAATTGAATGGACTAAGTATATCAATTATTTAAAATAATAAATTCTATAGGTATATTATTTATTTGATGAATTAGAATAGAAAAAATTTTTTTTTATCATTTGAACTAATGGAAATATTAAAAAAGTTAAGTATTTTTGTTTCTTTTGTATTTATTATACCAATGATCTTTAATTTTGTTTTAAGTCCAAGAACTTGAATAATTTTTTAATTCCATCAATAATTCTTCAACAAAACTTGCAGGCAAAAATTCTGTATGTTGATCTAACTTTTTAAGGATTTCTTTTTCTTCACCTGAAAGCACCCTTCTTCAAATTATAATTAGATCTGGTAAAGTTAAATTTGAGGTAGAAGGTACTGGAACATCCTTTTCAATTTGATTTGATATTTCTGGCTGTTGGCTAGGCATTTTTGAAACCTCTGCTAATCCCATATTCATTGCATCTTCTTATATTTCTTATATTTCTTCTACTCTTTTAGATGCATCTGTATGTGGAACAACATGGACTTTTGTAATATTTAATATAGATAGGGGATCAGTCTTGGTTTCTGGCATAATGAAAACATCACTTGTGTAAAGCATTAGGAAAAGCAAATATTAATATTACTATGCCAAAATGTAGTGAGATTTATTACATCAGATTCATTGAACACAGGCAGAGGTAATTTGCATTGTTTTTTTTTCTTTTTATTGCATCATATTTTTTTCTTCTAAATCATAAATAAGCCAAAAAATAAGGTCATTAAAATCTTCTGGCATTATTTCATAAAATTCAGCAAGTGTGGCAGGTTCTCTAATGTTTCTTTATTTTCTATGAGTTGGGTATGTGATTTCCATACAGATGTTTCTAAAGATTTACTAAATTTTATATATGATTCTGTTAGTAATTAATTTGATTGTAAATTTTCATTTATAGATATCTTATTTACTCTAAATGCTACACTTAAAAGAAATAAAGTTGGTCTAGGAACTATTAAATTATTAGAAGACATGGAGGATTCTTTTACTACGGATTCTGTTGATGTGAAATCTTATACTATAGATTTGGTAGAAACTTCTGTATTAAAATTTTTAAAAACTTGTATTAAAAGATTTAATAATTTATTTTTTGCATTTATATCATCTGAAGAAGCAACATTGTTGATCCATCTAAAAAAAAAAAATTAAAGATGGGGATGATTCTTTATCATGTATACATGGTTTTGTTCCTGTTCTTATATGTAGTTGTTACCCAATAATTTGTACAATATATCTTACACATTGAGGAATATTTCCTTCCATTGTTGTTACTTTATCAAATTCCTCTGGGAATTCTTTATCATATTCTTCTTGATTATCTTTATCATCTTCATTTATTTCACTCATAGGCAGGTTTCTTTTATATTATCATCAAAATAATAGCATCATTCATTGATTGTTGGAAGGAATATCATCAAATTCTAATATAGAATCAATCTGGTCATTGATTTCTACTAATATTGGCAATGAGTAAGATCAATCTGGTCATTGTCTTCTATTAATATTGCCAATAAGTTTGAATCAAAGAATTCATTTAAAGAAGTAAATTCAGAATTCGTTTATAAATTTATTAGTTTAATGTTTTATTTAATTAAATTGAATATTAAATTTTATAATACAATTGATTTAAACATCTTATATTTATAATAACTTTATCAACATTAATTCTTTATATCAAAATGAAATCTTTCTTTTGTGCCAAAAACAAAACTTTCCTTTGTACCAAAAACAAAATCTTCCTTTATACCAAGAATGAAACCTTTCTTTATATCAAAAAATACAATAGTATGTGGGGCATTTGAAAAGTTTTGTCACTGGCCCTGTAAAATGACAATCTTATGTGTAACTTTGTACAGATTTTTTTTAAATGAAAATAGTCGTTTTTGTCTATTAAATAAAAAAAAAAATTATTAAATTTTGTTCATTAATTATAAAGCTATTGACATTTAAAAATTTACTAAAAAAACAAATGGAAAATTTTAATCGTGAACATCAATGTTACTACATTTTTGTAAGCTGGAAAATGGTAAGAGTGCGAATCAAATTCATATGGAATTGCAGGTTGCTGAAGGACCTAAAGCGCTAAGTATTCGTAGTATTTATTGCTTGATTGAATCATTTGAAAGTGGTGATGAAAACATTAAAGATGATTCACGTTCTGGATGCCCAAAAGAAATTGTCACCCCAAAAAATTGTTGCAGAAATTGAAGAACTTATTGTTGAAGACCCACATATATCAATTAAAACATTAAAGGAATTAATGGGTATTTCTACTGAGAGAATTCATTATATTTTGCATAATGAATTGGAAGTTTCAAAAGTATGTGCAAAATGGGTCCCACATGTCTTAACTGAAGAAAATAAGGAAAAAAGAGTTGAACTTTCTGAACAGCTTTTAGAAATTTTGGAGAAGGGTTTTAATAACATAGTCACTGGTGATGAATCTTGGTTTCACTACTTTACAGTTTCAAGCAAAGAGGCTAATAAAGTTTGGATAAGTAAAGGTGAAAGCAGAACACAAATCACAAGGACAGCACAAAACAGCAAAAAACAAATTTTCTGCATTTTTTTCTCAACAGAAGGGATTGTGACTAGAATTGTGGTACCAAAATGACAATCAGTTAATGCTAAATACTATAGTAATATCATTTTGCCAGATGTATTTTCAAATTGGAAGGTAATGACAAACAAAAAAACTGTAAAAAC